AGCAGTCATGCAGCAATTTAAAAATCATTAGTTTTCTCAGCATGACAAGAAAAAAAGAGATAAATCTTCAGGGACTTTGGCACTATTGCCTTTGACAACACAAAAAGGTATATTTGTTCTATGATTGTTTTTATTTTTAATTAAATATATTATTTTTTAATTTGAACAAATTAAAGTCTGTATTGCTTCACAGCAGACAAGCATAATTCTTTTAATGTGTTTATGTTAATGCAAGGCAAAAATCTCCTACTAATACTCCCCCTTTATCAAGTGGTAGCAACTTTGGCAATGGCACACCAGTTTCTGTAGCCATCAGTACACAAGAGAGTGAAGGGACTAGCATCATACCCAACTACCTTTGACTTCTTGAATGACTAAGTACTCCGTTACAGCTGAATCACTTGGGGGAGCTTTCAGCATGAGTCCAGAACAAGAGCAAAATCTCTGGAGGTAGAGTAAGACACCCTTCCTGCTCCCTCCAACCCTGCCCTACCTCTATGCCTTGCATCTTCATCCATGTAACTAATTTTACCAGGCTCTTCAGCAAAACTAGGAAGACAAGATATGAGTCTCAAGGATCTGGCAGCTTTAATCAACATGTGTAGAGCCCATATTGAAAAGGTGTGATGTGATACCTACCTATTCAGCACTGCCAATAAAGGTTTATGCAGTAAAGTGCAAGCTCCTTGACAGTTTTTGTTCTGTGTCTCTGCAGTCCCTACAACACTGAGGCCCTGATCCATGACTGGTGCTTCTAGACACTCATGAGAATAATAATAATAATGTTTGTCTTGTTTTTTAAATGATTTCCTAGGCTGTAACACTCTCTACATTCTCCAGTTATAATTTGACAATTTAGGGCTTAACTACATGAGATTTTCCTAATAAGCTATTTCTGATTACCTTCCTGTGCAGACTGTATTCAGAATAAGATAATTTGGAATAAGGTACTCTAATTCCAAAATAAGAGTGTTCACACAGAAAGTTAATTAGGAATACCCATTCCATTTTAAATTCTCAGCTTCTCTCAGTTTGAATTAACTCCCTGTGTAGATAAACCTTGAAATGGAATTGTTTCAAGTTGCGCGCTATTAAACAGAGCAAATACTTGTATATGGTAAAGGAAATTTTTA